CCCTTTCATCCATACATTCTAGTATAAGTTTTATTTTACAATATGAAGTATAGGAATTTGTTTTTACCATATGGTACTAGACAAAACTTTTAGTTGCATCCAAACTTATATTACAAACGTAGGAAATTTAGGCAGAGTACAAAGATCTAAGACAAGAATTCCATAGAATAAAATGTACCAAATTGATTTATTACAAGAATTCAGGAAGGGCTTGAATGGCTTGGGGACTTACAAGGCTGCCATTCACGTATAGGTTACTGGTATGAATTTGGCTTGGGTTAATTGTAACTGAAAAATTACTGTTTAAGATGCTTCAGAAAAGGATCTCTGAAGAGAGCCTATGTAGCAAACACTATCTTCACAACAACTGGCAACCTTGTTGGCAAGCTGAGACCAAGTAGACAAGAAGGCAGTCTCCTCTCCCTGACTAGAGGTGGTCTCTGCAGATGTTTAAGGCATATTGGCAAGCTATAGGGAAATTAGTTACTATTCTGGGAACAATGAAGTATCTTCAGTTTTCACTTTTGGCACTTTTCACAAGCACTAAAGCTCCTAAAGGTTCTTTCAGAAATACCTCATTATCTGCCAAATGGCTCTGGTGTTGGGGCGGGGAGTAAAATAATGCAAAAAACTTTTGCTAAGTTAATTTTAATGCATTTATAAATATTTCATTTCACTACATAACTGGGCTATCACAACCTGATTAAGACCATTCCTAGTAGATCCTTAAGTTAGGACCTGTCTCTCTAAAGACTCCCTTGCAACAGCAGCCAGCAACCTTTAACGAACTGCAGGCTGGACCAACCTGGCTTTGGTTCTCAACCCGCCCTGCACCTCTCAAGCTACAGCACAGCTCCCCACCAGTAAGAAGCTGTGCCCACACCACAGCCAGGAGGAAGTGGGAGGCTACAGGAAGTGGAGGTGACTGACGTGCAGCTTCCAGCTGCCCAGCCCTAGTGCAGCTCCTTGCTGCCAGGCACAGGCCAAGTTCCATAGGCCAGATCCAGCCCGCAGGCAATATGTTGCTGATTCCTGCTTTCCAACACTGGAATTTAGGATGCAGCAAATAAAGCATTGTAAGAATTGAGGTCAGACAATAATCAACATGTGTTAATACTCCATTCAAATCATTTAAGTCACATAATTAATAAATGCAGCACTATAAAGTTAAAACTGTACCCCCAACAAGGTGAAACAGTGCAAATACCTGTATTTAAACAAGAACATTCCACATATACAAATATATACAGCACAAGTGCACTGTTTGCTTTGCAGTATAAATAGGTTTGATGAAACTAAGTCTGTGACAATACTACTGACCAACAGTATCAAACAATATGTATTTACTAAGGAATACAATAATACTAAAAGATCAGATTATCGCTACCTGATACGGCTATGCAGTGTATTATAAGATTGTCCTGGATGGATATTTAAAACTTTTAAGCCAAATATTAATGAAAAATGTTAAAAACAATGTCACAAAAGTCAGTTTAGATTCTGATCCTTTCAGTTATTTAGTAATTGACCACAGGCTGTACAAGTTGTACCTTTTAGCTGCCTGTACATTGGTTCAGTTTCTGCTTCCTTCCTCTTAACAGAGTAGCACCAAAACTCAATTGTCTGCTAATGATGCGGCTATCTCTAATCTATGTAATACTATATATACAGAGGCTGTGTCTACACGTTCATTAATTTGCTTTAGGTAATGCACATTAAATTTAGTACCTCCACTGTGAGGTACTAGAGAAAGGCACAGTAGCCTATTTTAATGCGATTAGCTAAAGAGCACAGGTTTTCTGTGATGCTTTAATGCACATTACAATAGGCTAATCTGTATTAAAGCACATGTGTAGATGCACCCAGAGAGAAAAATAATGCTTCTAATTTAATACACAATAAAAAAAATAAAAAGGGAATAAATGGTAACTCATTCTCAATTAAAGTAATTCTCCTGGAATTGGGTTATTTGCATTTTGGTGCTGTAAAATAATGTTATGTAAAAAAGTCTTTTAGGAATTCCATTATAGTTTGACAGATATGTAGAATTTAATTTGACCTTCCGCACAATTACACGAACCAAACAGGAACACTGTGCCATTAACCTCCTCGAATGCTATAGTTTCCATCTCCTTAAAGCAAGGGCTGTGCTGCAACCGTAACAAATAGTCGTCGCAAAGGCAAAAATCTACAGAAGAAGAAAAAATGAGTTGCTCGTGAGAAAACTATTACTGCAGTGTTCTTCTTTTGTTCCATACTCTGAATGCTTATTACTACAGAGAGACTTTGGGAGTTCCATAATTAGCCATAAAGTAAGGGAGGGTGATTTATGAACTCCTGCCCATTGAAAACCCCTACACTCTTGTTGTTCTGAAACTTGTTGGCTTCAGATGACATTTTGTGGCCCTCTGTAATATGGAATAAGTCTCTCCCTCTGGTTCTGGCAAAACCCTGCTTTAAATACACGTTTACACCGTTCATAAGTTTCCCCTTTTCAAAGGTGAATATAGTCATTGAGCTGTTGTTTTTTATTAGTATATTAAGTTTTAGGTTTAATTCCAAATGAATGAGTCTGCAGCAGCAAACAAACAAAGGGGAGGCTTATCTTTAAAATTACTGTATTAGCAATTTTGCCATCCTCTTAAGGAAATGGGGGGAAAATTTCACGGATGTGGGGGCACAGGGTTCTGCTACTGTAATAAGTTGTAGAGGAATGTCATAAAGCTTCTGCACTTGGACTCTTTAAATTGAGGCCAGATATCTTCCTAAAATAGGTGCTTTAACAAAGCCACCTTGCCTCCCTGGTTGAGATTCATGGTCTATACCAGGAGTTGTCTTGAAAGTAGGCATTCAGCAGCCTGAGTTCAGGGTTTTCTTGGTTAATGGCAGCAAAACTTATCACTTATTCCATCTTAACATCAATTTAATTAAGAAGTTTTTTTAAGATTAATTTGGGAGTTAGACCTTCTCCATTGTACCTCGTTGCTGGACCCAAGAAAGGAAGCTATAAGAAAAAGGCTTCAATTCCTACATCCCAGCCTGTCTGTGAGGATCCTCAAGACTGGAGCATATTTCCCATAGCCCAATGTGGAGCTTAACAAGACTGCCCACCATGCTGCTATGGATCAGCAAGACTGGGAGATAGAAAATGAGGGAAAGCAAAACTTTCTGTGCATTCAGGTGATACATCCGCACATTACAGCAGGGATTTGGGTTCTGCATTGGATTTCAATGAGTCTGAGATAAAACTCAGGGAGCACCTTCCTGGTATAAAATGTGGTTACTTGAGCTACCATCTCTATCCATGTATCATACTGGAAACGCTAGAATCAGATACAACTGGGAGGTGTTCTGGATTTTGAAATTCACAACTCTACCTAGTTCCAGTGGAGTCTGGTAATTCAAACTGAAAGCTTATCTTCTATCCTAAGCTTTCAGAGAGGATGGACTGAATGCTGGAACAGTTTGCTTTATTCAAAATAGGAGGAGGATATTTCTTACCACCCAAATAGGATGAGTAGCTTTTTTTCACTGTATTTTAATGTTGTGGACAGGCATTTAAAGTTTTTTGTGACTTTAAGTAAATGTACATGCTCTGAACATGCTTCCGGAAGGTGCAAAAATTAGACCACCATCTCAGTGTGCTAAATCTATTGAAACAGGCCTATAGAAAAGGCAATACTGATCTGAGAAAAAGGGATACTTGAGCCTTCAATCTTGATCCTAGTAACTAGTATTCCTTTCATAATGTCTCTGGATCTAAA